GAATAGAATCAATTTTTTTTTTTATAAAACAAAAAAATTTAATAGATTTATCATTTTTATTTTCAATATACTGAAAATTATATTTTCTGTGAAAATTTATTTGAACTTTAAATATATTATTGATGGTATAATATAAAAATCTTATATATTGTTACATTCCTTATTTCCATTAAAATGTGCGGATTATTAGATGTATTCGTTTGTACATGTTCTTTTTTGAAGTTAAGAATATATTAAATAATTATAATTACGAGTCGCTTCATAGACTGAGTAATCTGTTACGTCCGAGGATCGAGAGAAAAGATAATACTTTTGGTCAGGAACTCGGATGGACGCACGGAACAATTTTTTGCTCTCCCACATCAACGTCATGGGGTCGATCCGCGAGTCGAACGCGCCCTAAGAGCATAGGGAATGGATCAACGTCAGTGACGCTATAACCCTTGCGCTATAACCCTGCGCTAGCGCGGTCGGTGGTCCGTTTTTAGATCAGAGAATCGAATCTCTTTAACCAGGGATGGACCTCGTGCGACCTTCAGGGACTCGAGAATGGTTCGAGGTCAAGATTTTTTTAAATAAATTGAAACGCAATTCGGGTCAACTATGATTTAATAATAAAAAACGAAATACAAACATCTTAACTCTACGCTCTTATGTAATAGCAAGCGAACACAAATATTAAAGTGTACATTTAAATACTTTCGTTTCATGAAAAACTTTCGTTTACAAAAAACTTTCATTTACATAAAAAAAACTTTATATAGTTGAGAATCCGATTATCTCTAAATTCCCAATTGCTCTAATTGGGGCAAAAAGTTGATTATGGAAGAATGTCAATGGGATCGGGTTGAAGGTGTAGCGGAAGATTAGGGTGAGCGCTGTGCTTGACGGGAACGAGATGGGAAAAGGATTACGGGAAATGTACATAGAGGGATAGTGTTGTGAGATTAATGTTTCGAGATTTCTTCCCAAAACTCATTGTCGGGTTTAAATTTTCGTTTTATATAGAAAACTCTCGGTGGAGGATGTGTGGGAGATCGAGGAAATTGGCGGACGAGATAGTAGAACTTCTCCACGTCGAAGGGGTGCACTGATTTTTGAATTCTGCCGCGGAGCGGAGGGCGGTGGCGTACTCTTGTAATGAGATATTCACGAATCTAGATTCTATTTTGATCAACTGGTCCGCGAGTTCCCCGGCGTGTTCAGTTTCGCGACGAATCCGCTTGTTTTGTTTTTCCTGACGATGTCGCAATGCTTTGTTTGTTCGGGCCGTTATTTTCGTTTGGTTCACTATGATAAATGTAAGAGTTAAGTGAGAGAGAGAGTGAGTTTGAGAGAGGTAAAAGAACTGAGGAATCGTGCTAGGGCAGCTTCACCGAATCAATTGGCGACTTGCCAATTTGGAATGTGGAGAGGTGATTCAAGAAAACAATTAAGTTAAGATTGCGAACCAAACAGCCAGTCAACCGCGGAAAAGAATGATAAAGACGAACTTACTTTTGTTGTGGCGCAGGTGATGGACGAGAGTTGTGTTGGCTTGGCTGGATCGTGAATCACACGGAATTGAAGTTTCGCGCATAGATTCTAACTGAAAATGTATTTCGCCAACAGTTTTAAAGGGTCCCGTCTGTGGAAGTGTGGAGTGAAGAGAAGAGAGAGCGATCTGTTCCAAGTTGCGGTTTATAAAGGGTTCCGGAAGGATAGGAATATCTGAGGACGTAATGAATTTCTGTGTTGGCTGTCGAATGATAGAGTTTAGAAAAATTGCGAGTTTAGGAGGAGGAGGGAAGCAGTGTTCTGTGGATTGTGATTATTTTTATGTTTCCGGATTTCCTGGCGAATGACCAAATTAGTTAGTGAAAATTTCATCAGTAGTATGTGGATAGCCATGGCCCGTCAAAACAACCTTCACCACTTCCCCACTGGCGCCAGAGACGTGGCCTCCCGCTGTCAAAAAACTGTCAGTCACATGGGAATGGAGCATTCTGATTGATCGATGGGCGTGGCAGGCAATAATTACGTAATTAGTGCCGTTCTAATTGGCTGAAGCCAAGGCTGCCCGACGCATGATTGGCTCTGCCCATAATGCCCTATGTGTGTGAGATTGGTTGTCGAAATGCCGAAAAAGAAGGGGAAGGGGGAGAAAGTGTCTGAGACTGTTCGGGGTTCGAAAACAAAATGGCGTCAGCGAAAAAGAAAGATGGAGGGTGTGTGAAGGGAATATACTTGACGAGAATGGAATACGGTTTTTTATGACACGAGAGATGGAGCGAGGAGAAGAAAATTGATTTTTTGCGAGTTTTTATTACGTGTATATGGGTTATGATGAATCACGTTTTCTAAGACGGAAGGTTTCTCGGCGCCTCATAGCTAACGAATTTAAATAAATTTCTCGAGTTGTTTGACATTTTTTGTATGGAGGAAATGAATAAATGTTTTGAAGAGAGGTTTTCGAAGTGTAATAACCGTTAGAGTTAGAGTTATTTATCGAGTTGTATGGTATTTGGGGGAGGAAAACAGGAACGGTCAGGTTCGCACTAGAAGTTTCTGACGACGACGACGACGACGAATTTAGAGTTATACGAGGCTTTTATCCTATGACAAACGTGGATTGAAAAAATTTTCTTTCGACGCGATGATAACTTTGCAGGAATATTGAAGGATGAGAGAGAGAGAGAGAGAGAGAGAGAGAGAGAGAGAGAGAAAGATATGTCAGGAAAACAGAGAGATACTAGGAGACAATAGGAAAACACGCTCGTGCAGGTCAGCGTAAATAGCTTTCAAAAAAAAGGGAAAGAGTTGTGAAAAATTTAGGATAAAGAAAAAGATAAAGAAACGACGTAAATTTGAATGTTATCAGGTATAAGCTAAATTTATTATTTTTCACTATATATGAATATGTTTTGTTACAAAATTAAATACATGATTCAGTTATTATATAAAAATTATAACTCTCGATTCATTAAAATTATATTAGTAATTTCTTTAAATTTTAGTGTAATTAATTCTAAAAATACAATATTAAAATATGTATTCAAAAATGGTAAATTATTTATTTGCGTTCTCACAGCAACTTCGATATCCTTTTGGTTGCCTTGGAGAGTGAGTTTGATGATATCGGCGTCGATGTAATTGTTAGGTAGACATAATTCTATCTCCTTGGTCAAATAACGTGCGCACTCGTTAACAGCATCGACGACAGATGCTAACTGGTTTATACGAGCATCGACACATTTGATGATATTCTTCATTCCTTGAAAAGTAGCTTGCTGCATTATAACTGCGACGGAGTAAGTTTTCTTTTTTTTCGATGGTGATTGTTCCTCTGCTTTCGAATCTGCTTGCGTATTACTCCAGTATTGCTTTCTTTAGGAAAATTTTCATTTTCCTTATACGTCACCAATACAGCTTTCGTTCCGTAGGCAGAGGTGAAGTTGATGAATATGTTTGCAAATGTGATAGGATTTATTTTGCTTTTGTTGCTTCCATTAAAGTACGCGTTCATGTTCCCGCATACTCTCTTGAAATTGCTGTTACGTGTCCGGATCAAAACTGATTCCTTCTGCAGAATTACCATTCAATTTGACGACAGGCTTGAAGATACTTTCCTTAGATAATTGTAATTCCACGTGTAATTTTTTCGTATGAGAGGGTACGTCGTAGAAAGCAACAAATTTTGTTGCACATTTTGTACAGAATTCTTGAATATCTTGCGAATATTTTCTACTTTAGTGGGATTCGCAACTTCTCGTGGCCATATTACTTGACGAATTTTGAATAAATGTTCATTTTTAATAAACAAAAACTTGGAGGGATATTTTCGAAGTGAACGCTTCAAATGTCGATACTTGAATAAAGCAATGTACTAGTATGTAGCAATACCTACTTATATAGTAAGTCTTCCATCTCTTCGAAATAAATAAAAAAGTACATTCTATAAATAATAATCAAAAGATTGAAGATTCTAGAAGAAATCGCATCTCTTCGCTTTGTCTCCGCTCTTTTTCAACGAAAAACTTTTCTCGAATAACAGAATTATTACAGATTCGATCATGTTCGAACACGCGTGTGTCTTAGATGTTAGATGAGAAAAATTTTTAAATAAATAAATTATTAAACATTCGAGTAAACTATAATTTGACGCTGCTCTTTTTTCAACAAGGAAAGAATTTTTTCGAATAAAGCGAATATTGCAAGTTCGATCACGTTCGAACATGCTTGAATATTAAATGAGAAAATTAAAAAAAATCATCGAAAAACATCATACAAAAACTATTTCAAGAAGAAGAAATTATCGAAATATACAATAGAATTACGAATAAGAAATATTTTATAAATGTTAAATTTGAAGAAGCGAGAACTTTCCTCAAACTTAAATAATTATTCCTTTGGACATATGTCTGGCACCATTTATGCGTTAATAAACAAAAAAAGGTAAAATTGAAAAAGGTCAAGTCTAGATACAAGGAATACAAATTTTCAAGAAAAAATGGTTTATTACTAGGGCTGAGATAACATTCTTACCTCCTTTCTCCTTGAAACTACAGAAGAAAGAAAATTTCTAGAATTTTTATAAGTCTCTTTGCCAGAAAAGGTAGGATTTTCCTTATATATAGTGCGTTTTGCGCTATCTAAAACTATTTCTGAGTTGAACTCTTTCGTGCTTCACTTCAGTTTCGTCACGCGAGTTTTAAAAGTTTCAAATTATTTTGTGCGAATAAAGGTGCGAAAAATGGGCAGTGAAGTAATTAGAAGAAGCGTAAAGTTAGCATCGATGCTGGATACTCGCATAAACAACGGGGAAATTTTTAACTAAAATATCCAACATTTCGCTCGATGCTAACTATCTGCTTTTCACACGTTTTTCGTGCGAATGTTCTGATACAATATTGGGAGCATTGTATCAGTTAGGATACTTTGGTATCGACGCGCAGTTACCCCGAATTGCCAGAGAAATAATTGAGAAATAATCGCGTGCAGCTGGACACGAGGAGGAGGATATGAGTGGACACATCCAAAATCTCCTCTCGCATCTCCATAATGGTAAGCACCGCACTATTATTTCTATATATAAGTAATTACAATAACAAATCGGCAATTTAGCTAATTTTTAATAATAAATTGTAGAAGAAAATGCTCGTCAAAGAGTTACTGCGTTAGTGTATCCTCTCATGCAGATTCGGAGGCGACACGCCGAGGAAGAGTCAGAAACAGGAGCGCGTAAGTAATATCACTAAAAAACTAGACAGGAGTAATATTAAAAATATAATTTTTTACAATTTTCTAAGATTAAAATATTAAATGCTTTTAGGAAGGGCACGTGTTGAATTAACGCAGGAGGAGGAGGTACCTCCAGAAATTATCCAGCTCTCGTCTGGTAGGTTTACATTTTTAAATAAATAATTTCTAAAACAAAAGTAAAAGATAAAAAAACCTTACAACTTTTTCAGATACGGAAGTAAGTACCCCCGTGTGTTTTCGCCTGGTATGTTGATAAAGAGAAAAAATTAATTAAAAGACATAATAATTATATTAATTAAGGGCATAATATTAATATCGTGAATAAAAATTTATGATATATATACTTTTTTCCTAGAATACGATCATATGTATTCTCCCGTAATCCCGGAAGAGGGAGGGGATGAAAAACGGGAAAAGTAGGAAGAGGAAGAAGAGGGAGGAAGAGGAGGAGAAGAAGAGAGGAGGGGGAGGAGAAGGGATGAGGAGGAGAAAACGCGAGGAAGAATGAGAAGCCGAAGAGGAAATTGGAGAAACACCTCCTGCTGGTATATAAACTCTTTCTTAATTTTTCGATTTATGTTCGTATTTAATTTTAAATTATCGAATTTTTTTAATAAGAATTCCTCTCAGTCCTATTCTTCATGTGAAAAGGAGACGGCACGTTAAAAGGCGGGTTACCTCGACGAAAAATATCATGTATGCACGTTTATTAAATTAAATACGGACATAATATTCGAAGCATTATCGAAGTATTTTCTATAAAGTAAAATTCTAATTTTTGTAACTTTTGTGCAGAAGCGAACATCGAAGAGCCGCAGCGTGGAGGAAACCGAATACTCCCTGCTCAGGAGAATTTGGAAGAGGAAGAGGAGGAGGAGCAGGAGCAAGAAACAGCTGACGAAGAAAGGGAGGAGGAGGTGAGAGAGGAACAAGTGGAAGAGGAAACAGAGGAGGAGGAGGAGGAGGAAAGGGAACAAGCACGAGGTAGAAATTTTAACCATTTACTATTAATCGGGGAAAATTCGCGCCGGTTTAGAGATATTAGGAAAGGAGACGATATTCCGTTTGCATCCGCTATCCGAAGGAATCGAGTTTTATAATTGGCTTGAAAACGCATTCGCTGAAATTCATGCCTATGCATTGCATACCTTCGAACCGCATGATTATGTGGGATTTTCATTCGATTCGGAGGATTTAACGCACGATCCTGTGGGGTTCATTTCGACCGGCACGCGACTTAACTCATGAGGACATTTGGCGTCTTGTGAGTTCAGTAGCGCAAAACGCCGGTGGTCTCGATATCGCGCAGAATTTTAACGTGTTTTCAATGTCAACGGCACCCAGAGGTCGCGAGCGCGTTTCGAATAAACTTACACGGGAAGACGTTGCGAAACGTTCGATTTTAACAATCTCCAATTTGGATAATTTGTGTTTTCCTTGCTCTCTCATAATCACGCAAATTTATCATGAACGCGGAACGTTGCGAGCGGGGGAACTTCACAAGCGATGGAATATGGTAAAACGTCAGAATTCCTCGTTACAACGCGATCTCGCGCAGGATTTGACGAGGAGGGCTGGCGTCACTATTACACCGGAGGGTTGCGGGATTCAGGAAATAGAATATTTCCAACGCTTTCTCGCCGCATCCGATATCGCGATTATTGTTTAATTTTGTAATTTTGCCACTTTCAGACGCGGCGAGAGACCTTTACTCGATGGAACCGCGGTACTTGCCTTTCTAGAAGGTACTTGCCTTTCACGAGCCCTTATACCGATTATAAATATTGTTGCGGCCGTGCGGTGTTCCGCTCGGCGCTGCTCCCGAAAAATCAATCAATATCGTTCGATGAGAGTTTTAAGTGAGGATCGGCCCTTGACAACGCGTTGTTCTGCGGTTGTTATGTGATGTTTACGGCCAGATTCCGCGGCGGATGGACGCGTTTCTGTGCCGGTGTATCGATGATCAAATAAAGAGCGTGTTTTTCTTAAAACTGTGTTCTCCTTTCCGGAAGTGTTCCGCCAAGAACCCGAACGCGACAATATTATATATTACAAACGTCAACATCATTATAATCCTATTTTAAATTTAAAAGCGGTCGCGGAAAATAGAGGAGATTATTGCATATCATGCAATATCAGAAATCGCGAGGAAAGGGGGTCATCGCTGCTTAAATAAATGTTCTCGATGTATAATACTTGACGCTGCTCAGACCAAACAAGGAAAATAAGAAAAACTAATAATGAAATTATTTGAATGTTATAAATAAAGGTAAGATTTATTGTTTAATATAATTACAAT